GCTCTGCACAGATGAGAAGAAGGGATGTCAGAAACCTATGGAGAATTGTGTAGCAGCTGTTTCTTGTCCAGAACAATTATCTCAGGCTTTCTACTTTATTTTTGGACTCTTGATGCCTTTCCTTACTCTTCTCTAATCACCCAGAGGTCCTTTCTCTTACTTTCAGACTGACCACAAAACCCCTTGTGGGTAGAGAAGTGCAGCAATGAATGAATGGAAATCCAAACTCTCTGTGAATGTTCATTAAAATTATTAAATAAAATGAAATAAAATAAAATAAACCCCTTGCCAAGGTGATGTTCACTTTTGCTTGCTCAGCAGATGTACTCTCAATCTCTCCTTCATTCCTTAAGGTGATGGTGTGGGTCCTGCGGTTAGTCAGTATTCCTGCTGTGGGGCAGGCTAATTGCAGTGTCTGACCTGAGAAGAGGAATAAACTCCAGTTGTGTTTTGTAAGGAGCTAAGGAGGAAAACAAGCCTGCAGGGTGATCATTTTAATGCAGCAAGTCTTTACATTGAACCAATTGTGTGCAGAATGTATTGGGGAAAACTAGTCCATATTGCAGCGGATGCGAAGGCTTCCTAGAAATGACTGAATTGAATCTTAAAGAATGAATGAGAGTTGGATAGATTAAAGGGTTTGGTTAAAAATTAAAAGAAGAAAGGCATCCTAGACAGAGGGAACAGTTTGAAGAGAGACAAGTAAGAAACCACATGGTGTGTAGGAGTCAGGCTGGTGGTAATCAGCAGTTTTAAGACTTCTAGAGAATTAGCTGTGAGCTTGCAAATGCAAGATGGTCCTGCAGGCTAGCCTGCAGGCAAGGCTCTTGAGCCATGTGCCATGATGTCAACAGACTTTCGTTCTGACTAGATCATTCTGGCAGCAGTGAGGAGGCTGGATTTAAGAAGGCAAGGGATAAAGCAGATTAATTAGGAGATGTTGCAGCAATCCATAAAATGACGTGGCTTTGAGCTAAGAAAGTAAGGCAGTAAAGACAGAAAGAAAACTTAGCAGCACACTAGGACAGATCACTCACGACTCACCGAGTACCGTTGAGTTCATCTGAGCTCATAGGAGCCCTATAAGCCATAGCAGCCCTACTTGATAGAGTTTCCCAGGCTGTAAATATGTAGGAGCAGACTTAACATTTTTTCCATGCAGCACCTGGTGGGTTCAAACCACAGACCTTTCACTTAGCAGCTCAATTCTTGACCTACTGCACCACTATGACAGCTGGGGTAGGATATGGAGCGAGAGGGGACATGTAGGCAAGCATGATATAGACTGCAAAACTAGGGTTATAGTTTCTACAACCAAGACAGGTTCCAGGAAGAAGAGTGAGTTAATGTGGAGTGAAAGGATGTTGGGGATTCTGCACTGGAGATACCTGTGGCATCGTCTAGAGCGAGATGAATCTAGAGATATGTACATATGAGTCTGAATGCCAAAAGTGATTTGGAATGAGCTAAGCTATGTATTAGCTGCTGTTATTGTTGATTGCCTTCGAGGCCTGAAGCGTTCTATAACTATCAACATTTATCAAAGTTCATAGAGTTTCCAGAGGCATGCCACTCCAGCTTCCAAATGTATTAGTTAGTCAGCAGAATATAAGTGATTTACAGAAAGGTCATTCTGACTGAGAATGAGCTAAGTAAGGGAAGGAGGAACATAGGAGAAATCCATAAAGGAATCTGAGATGAAATAGATTTTGTAAAAGACATTAATATTCTCATTTTGTGACTGAGATGGTTTAACATATATGACTCCTGAATTCTTTTTTGGAAAATGATTTGTGGTGACGGATTATTGGAGGAAGGCAAGCATCTGGGAAATGTTATGCAGCATCTGGGAAATAACTGCTTTCTCCTCTGCCACGAAGATGTCCTTGCTTCCATTGAATTTGGTTCAAGAACAAGGAAAATATTCCTAAATAGTCCGTTTTTCTTAATAAGGTACCTATGGATTGATTTGTAAGTTCTTCCAAAGTGGGGAGGAAAGCCATTGTTATTGTTGCTATGTGCTGTTGTGTTGTTTGCAACTCGTAGTGACCCTATGGACAATAGCCCTAAACCTTGCTCCATCCCTTGCCAATCTTATTGTCTCCAACACGCCTATCCCCATTACCCTAGTGAATTAGTCCATCTCATCAAGCGTCTTCCTCTCTGCACTATCCCTCCACCCTCCCAAGCATAATGTCCCTCTCCAAGGGCTGGTTCCTTCTTGCAACATGTCCAAAGTATGTCAGACGAGGCTTCAGAATCCTTACCTTCAAGGAGCAGCCTGGTTTCACCCTCACTAGAACAAAGTTGTTTGTTCTCCTAGCAGTCCATGGTATATTCAATATTCTTTTCCAGCACCAAAGCTCAAAATCATCAATTCTCCTTCTATCATCTCACATACTTTGGGCATGTTCTCAGGAGGGACCAGTTTTTGGAGAAGGACATCAGACTTGGAAGGGTGTAGGAACAGGACAAGATAGGAAGATCTTGGATGAGATGGATTAATACATTAATGGGGATTTTGGAAGTAGGCATGTCAAAGTCAATAAGACTGGCTCAGGACAGGGCAGCCTACAGAGCTGTTGTTTATAGGGTCAATGCATGTGACTCAAGGGCACATAACAACAACATTATATATGTGTGTATGTGTGTGTAATTTTATATATATATATATATATATTCTCATTATCTTTGAATTTATGAGTGTTTTCTCAGATTATCTTCCCCTAAAAGAAGAAAAAAAATGTAAGGTAAAAAAGTTATGTATATATTCATAGATACTTTTTTTAAAAAGTTGGAAACTATCAAACAGTATCATGTGAGCAAACTACTACTGAAGATCCTTCAAAAACAGCCAGAACAATAATAGGGAACTACCAGAAGTTCAAACAGGATTTAGAAGAGGCTGTGACACCAGGGATATGTTGCTGATGTCAGATGGATCCTGGCTGAAAATAAAGAATACCAGAAGAATGTCTTTTTATGGCTTTATTTACTCTGCAAAGACATTTGACTGAGTGTATCATAACAAATTATGGCTAACATTGAGAAGACTGGGAATCTCAGGACACTTAATTGTGCTCATGTGAAACCTATACTTAGACCAAGAGGCTGCTGTGTGAGCAGAGCAAGGGAACACTGCATAATGTAAAATTCAGAAGGAAGTTTGTCAGGGTTTTATTGTCACTCCATACCTATTCCATCTGTATGCTAAGCAAATTATTTAAGAAGTTGGACTCTATGAAGAAGAATGTGGCTTCAAATCAGAGGAAGACTCATCAATAATCTGCATTATGCAGATTACACAGTCTTGCTTGCTGAAAATGAAAAGGACGTGAAGCACTTATTGCAAAAGATCAAGAAATAAATACATACAGCCTTCAATATGGATTGTATCTCAACATCAAGGGGGGGAAATTCTTCCCACTCTGCCTATAGGCTACATCATGATAGATGAAGTTGTCAATTATTTTATCTTACTTGGGTCCACAATCAACACCCTTGGTATCAACAGTCAGGAAATCAGGAGATGTATTGCACTGGGAAAGTCTGCAGTCAGGGGCCTCTCCAAATTGGGGAGTAATGGTGTCAGTTTGAGGACTAAGATGTGTCTGATTCAGGCCACAGTCTTTCTGATCACATGCTATGTCTGAGAGCTTGACAAGTAATAAGGATGACAGAAGAATTGATGCCTTTGAGCTGTGGTATTGGAGAAGAGTATTGAACATCTCGTGAACATCCAAAAGAACAAACAGATATGTTTTCAGGAAGGTGCAACTAGAGTGCTACTTGGAGGCAAGGATGATAAAGTCTCACCTCACTTACTCCAGCCATGTTGCTAAGAGGGACTATTCCCAGGAGAGGGACCTGATGCTCAAAAAGGCAGAGGGTTGGTGAAGGAGAGGAAGACCTTCCGTTTGGTGGATTGACACAATGACTGCTGCTATGAGCTCTAATGTGTCAGGAAGTGTGAGGATGGCTCAGAATAGAACAAAGTCCAGCTCTGCTGTTTGTAGGGTCATTATGGGTCACACTTGACTCAAGGACACCTAAAACATACGGGGGGAGGGGAGGAGATTGAGATTATATGCTATCTCTATGTATATAGTGAGAGAGATGATATAATTGTGTATATTAAAGTTATATAATTTTCTCTCTGACTGATTACATTAAGGAATAGCAACTAGCTTAGTATTTGTCTACTTCACTGAGAATCATAGCCTCATAGCCTAGCCAAAGTGACATATGAAGTTAACTATCACAAATTCTGAAGGAATGCGGCAGGAGAAAGGAATTTGTCCCCTTTAGAAATTCAAATTAGACGAGAGTCCTTCTACATCAGATTATCTCTTTTCCTTTCTCCAGATAATTTGGAACTAGAAGCCATGCCTTAGATGGGTCTCTCGGAGGCTGGGCTCAGTCCCTGAAGCCCTAGAAGATGCATTCTGGGGAATCTATGTTACAGCATCCTGGTTATTGTCAGCATCTCAATTGTCCTGACTCTTAAAACCTGGCGAGATTAAATCACCCTCCACCCTTAACCCACACCAACCAAACCAGAATGGAAACCATGGTTTAAAAAGCTTCCCTGGCCACTCCAGCTTCCCTGAATTCTCTTGGAGCTTTTTCTTGAAAATCTATTTGTTTTTCATTAGAAATCGTCATCATTTTTGTGGTTTGTTTTGTATTAGCAGGCAGAAGGCAACTAGAAATAGAACTTTGAACAGATGCTGGTTCTTGCGAACAGATTTTCAATTGTTTCTCCAAGAGCTGCTTGTTCCAGTGATGAATTCCGTCCTGAAGTTTTTCTCTCCAGGTTCTTATACTAGAAAGCCTGACAAAAGCAGGAATCAGAACAGAGTCAGCCCAGAGGAGGGCCTTGGCCTCTGCCAACTCCTGCTGAACCAGGGCTCTGACCCCAGACTCCTCTCCCCTTTGAATCTCTGTGGACCCTGAACCAACTACCCAGCCTGGGTAATCTCTTCATCTTCTTTCTCCAGCAAGGTCTGAAAATAGTGCACCACGCAGAGAAGACACTGTCCAGCTTCTGTAAGTGGCAGAAGAGCATCAACCCCAAGAGTGACCTCAACCCTGCCCATCACGACGTGGCTGTCCTTCTCACCAGGTAACTCAGGGTAAGGGCAGGACGTGGGAGGGCTGCAGGCTGATTGTGACCTCAGGAGTTAGCTTCATTAGCTGTAACACACACACACACACACACACAGAGAGAGAGAGAGAGAGAGAGAAATAAAAGGAAGAGAGAGAAACAAAAGGGAGAAGAGGAGAAGACTTCATTATGGCAATTGCCTGGGAAAAGGCACCGTGATGGATGTGGGTTATAGTATAGTAAGACTCATCGTCTTTAGGTGACAGGGACACAGGCCGTCTGGTAAACCCTTAAAGCCTCATTTATGGCATAACTCTGTTGTGTAAAGTATCAGTTTGCTTGAAGAATTTTCTCAGGTGGGCAAAGTCTATGGTCACAGTTTATCTATTGATTTTTTTTTTCAGATGAGCCTGATCTCTCAAATTTGATAAACACTTTTGTCATAAAATTAAGAGCTATCTTAATAAACATAGCTTAATAAAGCATATCATCTGACAGATGGCCGGCCCCTTTCTTATTCCACTGGTGATTTCACATTCATTAGTGACTTCATGCTCTTCCATACAGCTCTATCAGCAGGCATTGTGTTCATCAATTCTCTTTAATGACTTCTGAAATTTGTAACCAGTGAGATGGCTAATCTTTTCTTCTGTTGTGTTTTCTTTCCATTTAGAAGCTTGCAGTGGTTGCTACAGTAATCAGTCCTCTTACTAGCAAATCTCTGGCTGAGGTTGAGACCAGGATGTGTGGAGAGGACTGTATTCTGTGGAGGCAGAGAGGTATCATTGTGCCTTTTCTGCTCCTCAAGATAGGGCTGTGTCCTGACCAAAGCTCAACTCTGGGCCACCAGCCAGGTCTATTACATTGGAGTGGAAAGTCAGTGACCTTTTCAAAAAGTACTTTTATTATTTTTTTTAAATTGTGATTGGAGTGAAAGTTTATAAAGAATATTGGTGTTTGTTGGGTTCTGGCTCGGAGGTGGTTTTTTTCCCCAGTCATTCTGACTGACTGTAAGAGTCAGTGTGCTTCATGGTCAGCCCCAGCTCCTTGGAGGTGTTGTTTGTTCATAGTTATTTGTGAATGTTTGTTCATTCAGTTAGCATTTATTGAACACCTATAATACACCAGGCACTCTTCAGGAGTCACTGGGCGGCACTAAGGTTACACACTCAACTACCACCCAGAAGCACCTCTGAAGAAAGACCTAACAATCTATCTTCAAAACAGGCAGCTTTAATCCCAGAGGTGTGCGGTTCGAATCCACCAGATTCTCTGCTATAGAAGGAGGGACCATCTCCTCCTGTACCAGTCAGATCTGATTTAATGGTACACACGCACACACACACACACACACACACACATAATAAAAGAAAATTTTTTTTAAAATTGAAAATTAAAAAATAACACCAAAACCATGTAGCTTTGAAAACCTATAGAGCAGAGTGTCTCTGCAAACATATGGGATCATCATGAGTCAGAATCTTAACAGCAGTTGGCTTGATTCCAAACACTGGCTGTCACAAATGGTTTGCATGTGGCTACTAGTGGTCTAGCGATAAGAAGCTGTGTCACAAATCCAAAGGCATGGAATTCAAATCCACCAGTTGTTCCACAGAAGAAAGATAAACAACTCCTCCCAAGGGATTCAGTGCTTCTAAAAACTTGCTGGAGGATCAGTTATGGCCAATGGCACACAACAACTAATGTAGAGTAGAGCTCTGGTAGCATAGTCTGTATGGAGCTGTGCTGCTTACCTGAAGGCCGCACATCCCTCGTAGTTAGAGTCCACCAGTGGCTCTGTAGAGAAAAGATGGGCGGTCTCTTTCCATTGCAATTCACAGCCTTGGAAACCCAAAGGTGGGTCATTAAGAGTCGGAACTGATTCTACAGTGAGTTATTGTGTGCCCTTAGGTTGGAACTGACCCTTCGCTGGCCCTTCAGTGCCTTTTCAGAGACCGTAAATTCCCCGGGGGGAGATCGCTCGTCTTTCTCCCATGAAGTAGCTAGCTGGTAGATTTGAACCATCTGCCTTTGCATTGTAGGCCATCAGCATTGTATAGCAATTGCAAGAACACCCAATGGAGCCGTCTATGGTGTTGTCATAAATCAGAATCAGTTCCACTGCAGCAGGTTGGGTTTGGTTTTGGTTTTAGATGAAGGGAGGGTTTGCATCCTCACAAAGGGGAGCGAGTGAACACCACCATGCTGATTCAGAAACAATGGGTGCAGGGTGTGTGTCAGAGGACGCTGGTGGACCCACAACCTCACTTCAGGGGAATCTTGGGCACTGGACCATCCTGGCTCTGGGTGTGGGTTGTCCTTGGAAGGACATGCTGCCTCATTCTGGCCCTGCCATCTATCTGTCCCTTTGCCAGGATCATCCTAATGCATAGGATGCCTACAGGCTATGATTCAAATAATCATCATCAATCTCAATCTTGGTTAACTCTCCACTTTATTTTTACATAAAAGTTCAACCATCAGAATTCCTCTTTGGAATAAAAGCATTAATACCCTGGTTAAATGCAAACATGTCCCAAGGGAACTCTACTGTAAACAGATTACATTAGCCTCGCCTCAAGTACCAATGAGCTGGGGAATGAGTTGAAGTGAGTGTAGAAGGGGCTCTGGGGAGCTAGGAGCTTCGGCTCCTGGCAGTGTTTTCTCTGGAAACCTTTCCTGCTTGAGCAGAAGTAGGTGCTCCTCTCATGGCTACACCAAGAAGCAGATGGGTTAATGAGAACAGACTGTTGTGGGATGCTTGATAAGGCCAAACCCTTTAGAACATTACAACAGCTATCTTTTCACTTTCATCCAATCCTTAACTGACACTCCACCAAGTTTTCAGAGATAGTAAATCACATGGAAGGAGATTGCCCATCTTACTACCTCAAAGAAGTTGGTGGGTCCAACCTCCTGCCATTGGGTTGGCAGCTCAACTCCCCATACACTAGGCCTCTAGAATCTCCGCAGTATATTAAGGGTTGACTACAATTAATCACTACTATTTTATAGCTAGAGAAATTAGTTGGCTATATCTGTTGTCTAAAATCTTATTTTTGCCAGTGGTACTTAAATCTAGGAGTTTGACTCGAGCAACCATATTCTTAACAATTAACATGAACCATTAACAACCATACTCTTAATTCTGTGGACTTCCAAGAAAACCAATAGATTTGTCTTGGAAAGGGTGAAACTAATTGTCTCCTTGGAGGCTAGGATTCCGAAGCTCTGTAGCACGTACTCTGGGCACGTTCCCAGGAGGGACCAGTCCTTGGAGAAGGACGTCATGCTTAAAGGGTGAAGTGACAGTACAGGATAGGAAGACCCCAGGTGCGATGGATTGATACAGTAACTGGGGTTGTGGGGGTTGATGTGTCAGAATCAGTGGGATTGGCTCAGGACAGGGCAGGCTTCAGAGCTGTTGTACATAGGGTTGCTCCTGAATCACAAGTGACTCGATGGCACATAACAAAAACAGCATTAACAGCTAGACTCGCAACTGTTAGCCAACAAACATCTGATGGGTTTGCTTCTTTTTTCTCTTTTAAATTCTGATCATCTTATTTTCTTAGAAAAGGGATCCAGTTTCATGAAAGATTGATGAACCTTGCTACTTGCTCAACAAGGGAGAGTATTTAAAATTCTAAAGCAGGACTTCTTAACATTATTGTCATTTGAAACCAGATATTACTTATTGTAAAGAGCTGTCCTGTCCTGTCCTGTGAGGGATATTTAGCAGCATCCATATAGTGACTGTAACAGGGGGTTTGAACCTATCAGAGATGCAGAGGATGGTACAGAATTGGACACATTCAGATCTATTGTTCATCATCTGTCCCTATGAGTCATAGTCAACTGTACGGCACCCACTTCACTACCACCTTCAACAACAACTGTCCTCTACTTATGAGTCGTCTGTAGCAGCCGAGGTCTCTCAGGCTGTGAGAGTCAAGCTTGTCTTCAGACTGAACCACATTTTACCTGTGTGTTTGGTGCTGGAGAAGGAATGGGGATGGAATCACTCCCAGGTGTAAATTACTGGCTAAAAGAATGAGTACATTCTAGAAGGGAAGAAGAGGGAGAGAGGAAAGAGTCTGAGCTCTGCCTCTGGGAGACCATCCTGAAATCCACTTTAATAGAGTTCTCCACAGAGTTGAATTCAAGAGAAAGTAGATTTGGTTCATCGTACCACCAATGACATGAGATTAGTAGATGAAAGACAACAAACATTTTCCCCAATGCATGGTGAGAGGATAGCTCTTTTCTTTTTAGAACTTATTCCCTTGACTGAAATAATTCTCCAATAATTCTTTTGCTACTCCTCTTTTTCTTCTTTAATCTCGATGCCCATAGGCACTCAAAGAGCACTTAGAGCTGGCCATTTGCTGTAGGAGGATGAGATGGTCAGTGAGTTAGCAGCACACACTGTTCATCTGTTCGTTCTCAGCAGCTCTGAGAAGACTTTGTCTGTTTCAGTGACATAATAATGAGCACACCATACAGGAGGGATGGGGAAGGGGTATGGCATGCTGGTCCTCTGGCACATCCAAAACTTGACTACAGCTCTCCGGCTGTGTGATCTAACTCGCTCTCCTGTACTGATCCACCCAGCCTGTACTGCCATCAGTGAGAGTCTGGACTCAGGGCTAATACTGTCCTGAGACTCCTCACTCTCAAGCCTTTTGTTCAGCCACTGTCATGTTCTAGAGAAGTCCACACTCAAAAGTGTCTCGAACTCAGGATCTTTCCACAGCCCAATTTACACAAAGCAGGAGACTATCTATCTTAAGAACGGGATGTCCACACAAACCCTGAGAACTGATAGTTAATAAGAAGCTGAGACTCAGCATCTCTGTAAAAGAAGGGACATTTGGGCCAGTACAAGAGTGGCTTTTCTTGAGCTGAAGAAGATCAGATGTCTAGTTAAAGACTCTTTCCAAACTCTTGTTTTGAATTAGAAGTGATAACTAATCTGCTATGGGAGGATGTTTTTATAAGTTAAAACTGGTGTTTTCTTGGTTTGTAGGAACATTTCCTTTGTTTTGCATGGGTAAGGGCAAAATCGAGAAGGAGCTCTTGTGGCAAGAAGCTGTGCTGGTTTGAACCCAGCAGCTGTTCCATGAGAGAAGGATGGGCAGTCTCTTCCTGTGTGATTAACTTCCTCTGAAAACCCACCAGAGAGTCAGCGATGGGTCGGATCTGACTCGACGGTGCACAATAACAGCAGGGCAAAAATCGAGATCCTGGTAGCAAGAGCAGGAAAGATGCTGGCCTGCATGTGCACGCGTGACAATGGCATAGACCCACTCTCATGTAATTTTATTAGGGTAGTGGGGCTAGTTAGACAATGGAGTTTGTCTCTGGAGGAGGAATAGGGTTAGGTGCTTTGTCTGTAAATAGCAGATTCATGAGTTTAAAAATTGTTACTGTTAGGTGCTGTCAAATCCACTACACTGTATAGTCATAGATCTTTTGAGCAATAGATTAAATCCCGACCGATGAAGCACCATCCTCACAGTCTCCAATATGCTCCAGCCCGTTGTTACAGGCACTGTGGCAATCCATCTCATTGGGGATCATCCTCTCTTTCTCTGGTCCACCACCTTTCCCGGGTTGATGTCTTTGTCCAAGGACTGGCCCTTCCTGGTAACATAACCAACATACATGTGATGACATTCCACCATGCTTGTCTCTAAGGAGCAGCCTGGTTACACTTTCTCCAAGACAGATGTATGAGTCTTCTATATTAAAAAAATCCCTACTATCCCTGCTTGTCCCTATTGAACAGTTCAAATTAACGTCAATTTCCAATCAAATCTTTTTCTTTTTATGATGAAATAATATCATTTGACTTCTTAAAATCAAGATTCAAAGCAGCTCAAAATAAGATGCATGCCAAAATATAATTGGGGGGTTTTTTGGTGTTGGTGAGATTGAATAATCAAGAAATTAAATTGGCATAATCTCAGTGAATTTTAAATTGTTTCCTGGGTTTAGAAGGGTTCGTGGTACTAGGGATATTGTTGCTGATGTTAGATGGATCTTGGCTGAAAGCAAGGAATACCAGAAGAATGTCTATCTGTGTTTCATTGATTATGCAAAGGCATTTGACTGTGTGGATCATAACAAACTGTGACTGACTCTGAAAAGAATGGGAATCCCAGAATATTTAATTGTGCTAATGCGAAACCTATACTTGGACCAAGAGGCAGTCGTCAGAACAGGGCAGGGTAACACTGCATGGTTCAAAATTGGGAAGGGTGTACGCCAGGGATGCATCCTGTCTCCATACCTTTTCAACATGTATGGAGAGCAGATTATCTGGGAGGCTGGGCTCTATGAGAATTGTGGCATCAGGATTGGTGGAAGATCTATTAACAATCTGCATTATGCAGATGACACAACCCTGCTTGCTGAAACTGAGGAGGACCTCATGCACTTGCTGCGAAGGGTCAAGGACTGCAGCCTTCAGTATGGACTGAGGCTCAATGTCAAGAAGACAAAGATTCTCACCACTGGACCAATTGGCAGCATCAGGATGGATGGCTAAGAGATTGAGATTGTTCACAGCTTCAGTTTGCTCGGCTCCACAGTCAACACTCTTGGCACCAGCAGTCAGGAAATCAAAAAGTATATCGTGATGGGAAAGTCTGCTGTTAGGGACCTCTCTAAAGTACTCAGGAACAACGGTGTCTCTCTGGAGACTAAGGTGCGCCTGATACAGGTCCTGGTCTTTGCAATCGCTTGTTATGCATCAGAGAGTTGGACAATGACTAGTGAGGACAGAAGGAGAGTTGATGCTTTTGAGCTGTGGTGCTGGAGAAGGGTACTGAATGTACCATGGACTGCCAGGAAAACAAACAGATTCATCTTGGAGAGGATTAAACCAAACTACTCCTTGTTCCTCCTTCTCCAGCAAAGCATCTGCTGAATTTGAACCTCACACCTCTGGGATTGCAGTGCAGCTTCTTGCCACTAGGACACCAGAGCTCACCTCTATTTTGTTTTGAAACATGCTTTTCTTGTTACAGATGTGAGTTAAGACCTAACTAATTTTTTGAGGAGAGGTTTTTCAGATGTGATCTTGAACACTTACGCATCTCTGTCCTCTGCTTTCAGAAAAGATATCTGTGCTGGTGTTAATCGTCCCTGCGAGACTCTGGGTCTGTCCCACCTGTCGGGAATGTGCCAGCCTCACCAGAGCTGTAACATCAATGAAGATTCTGGACTTCCTCTGGCTTTCACCATTGCCCATGAACTTGGACACAGGTAAAAAGCAAAGCAAATTGAGATCTCTTTACCATACTCAGGAGAAACATCAATAGAGAGAATGTAAAGAGTATTAAACTGGGCATCAGATTCAGATTGATTTATGGCTCGAAGCTCTTCCTACTTGTTCTCTCCTTTTTATTACCTTGAGTTGGAACTAAACTCCTAGATGACTGTCCAGGGGGACTTTGGGAGGTTGTAAGTAGCACAGGAGAAGACTGTCCTTTTCCCTGCAGAACTGCTAGTGGATTGAACCACCACAGAGATGTGGCCTTTGGGTTTACAGCTAAATACTCCATGAGAATTCCCTGCCTCGTCTAAAGAGAAGGATTGACTGGAGTGCATACTTGAGGCCAGGTTTCAGAGGTAGCTGCAGGTTGGTGGAAGAGTCTCTAGTTCTCACCATGAAGGCCCTGCTAGGAAATGGGGTGTAGCCACTGATACTAGGTGCTGTTGAGTTGACTACGTCTCAGAGCCACCCTATGAACCTTGCCCTATCTTGCTCCATCTTCACATTCTCTGGTGTGCTCCACCCCTTCGGTACAGTCACCGTGTCAGTGCAGCTTGCTGAGGATCTTTCTGTCTTTCTCTGGCCGGATTCCACCTTTCCACAATGATGTATTTTTTCCAAGAACTGGCCCCTCCTGACAATACACCTAAAGTATTAGGCTTCAGAGAGCTTGCCAGTGGCTAAGGATGACAAAAGAAGACTCGATGCCTTCGAATTGTGGTGCTGGAGATGAGTTGAACATATAATGGAGTAATAAGAAAGCAAATAGGTCTGTCTTGGAGAGGGTGAAAACAAGTTTCTCTTGGTGGCTAGGATTTTAAAGCTCCATCTCACACACTTTGGGCATGTGGCCAGGAGAGACTGGTCCTTGGAGAAGGCATCATGCTTGGAAGGGTGGAAAGACAGCACAGAAGAGGAAGACCCCGGATGAGATGGATTGATACAGTAATTGGAGCAATGGGTGTTTGTGTGTCAAAATTAGTGAGACTGACTCAGGGCAGGGCAGGATTCAGAGCTGCTGTACATAATAGGGTCACTTTGGGTTGTAGACAACTCGATGGCACATAACAATAACAACATGTGAGAGAAAATCTTACCATCTTTGCCTCTAAGAGATACCCTGGTTGCATCACCTCAAAAAACAGATTTAGCTGTTCTTTCGGCATTCTGTAGAATATTCAATACTACTTGATAACATAATTCAAAAGCATTGATTGTTCTCTCAGTCTTATTTGTTGTCCGACTTCCAGATGCACAGGAAACAACTGAAAATATCATGACTTTGTTGTTGTTGTTGTTGTTATGTGCCATCCAGTCACTTGCAACTCATAGTGACCCTATGTACAAGAACCCTAAATGCCTTTCTATCCCGTGCCAACCTCACCATCTCAAACACACTCATTCCCACCACTCTACTCACAGAATCAATCTATCTCACCGAGGGTCTTCCTCTCCTGCACCTTCCCTCCACTCTCCCAAACATGATGTCCCTCTCCAAGGACAAGTCCCTCCTCGCAATATGCCCAAAGTATGTCAGACAAAGATTCAGAATCCTTGAGTCCAAGGAGCATTCCGGCTTCACCTTCTCCAGGGCAAACCTGTTTGTTCTCCTAGCAGTCCATGGTGTATTCAACACTCTTCTCCAGAACCACACAGCTCAAAGGCATCAATTCTCTTTCTATCATCCCTATTCACTGTCCAACTCTCTGATGCAGAGCATGTGATTGAGAAGACCATAGCCTGGATCAGGTGCACCTTAGTCTCAAGCCTGACGTAGGTGATCTTCAGTACTCTTGAGAGGTCCCTCACAGCTCACTTTCCCAATGCAATTCATCTCCTGATTTCCTGGCTGCAATTACCAAGAGCATTGATTGTGGAGTCAAGTAAACTAAAACTGTTAACTATCTCAATCTCTTCACCATCCGTACTGATGCTGCCAGTTAGTCCAGTGGTGAGAATCTTTGTTTTCTTGATGTTGAGCTTCAATCCATATTGAAGGCTACAGTCCTTGACCTTCTGCAGCAAGCGCTTCAGATCCTCCTCAGTGTCAGCGAGCAGGGTTGTGTCATGATTCTTCCACCAATCCTGATGCCACATTTCTCCTTGTACAGCCCAGCCTCTCGGATGATCTGTTCTGCATATAGATTGAAAAGGTGTGGGGACAAAATACATTAGGTGTACTTAAATCGTTAAACTGTCATTGTTTCTTTAGCCCTTTGAAGAGGTCCTTGATAGCAGATTTCCTCAATGCAACATGTCTTCTGACTCCTTGATTGCTGCTCCCATGGGTGTTCGTTGTGGACTGAAGTAAAATGAAATAGTTGACAACTTGATTTTTCCTCTCCATCTATCATTTGTATTTAAAGCCAAGCCCTTGTCTCCATTTTGGAGACTGCCTGAAGCCGCTGGACTCTATAAGGTGGGGTCTCTTGTTTTGGTTGAGGGTCATTGTGGAATGTTTGGTTGTTTTTTACTTAAGCCTCTTTTTTTTTTTTCAGAAGTATGCCTATTGAAATTCATTCATAATGAAAAACTCTTAAATTAAGCACTGACCATTCAAAATTATATAGATGAATGAGAATAAATACAGGAAAGATATAAATAGTATCATCGTCTTGTGTATGAAAATAAGGATTTGGGACAGCCAAAATGCTTTCAAGCTACCTTTTAATCTGTAACATACTGAACTTTTTTCCTTTTTCTTTTTTATTATTAATTTTAATGAAAGTTTACAGAGACTTTAGATTTCCATTCATTCATTATGATACTTTTCTCCCTACCCACCTCGCCCTCCCAGTTCACTCTTCTCTTTGAAAAGTAAAAGAAAAATTCTTTCATTGTTTAGAGTCAACAAGACTTCCTGGAGGGCCCTTGTATTTAAAAGTTGGGCCTCAGGGATTATATTTTAATTCCCAGCAGGAGTGGCATCCACTTCCTAAACAACATGCCTCCAGAAACTCTTTGTACTTTGATAAATGTCCAGTTACAGAGGGCCTCAAGCCTTTTGTTTGTAGGTTTGCTATGAGTCATGCTAGAAGGCAATCAATAACAACAACAACAGGAACATTCTTCTAAGATGTACAGCACTTTTGTCAATTCGCTGTGCTAAGGTAATCTGGGTTTGCTGTGACCCTGAACCTTTAGTTATGGAAGTCTCAAATACCATAATGGAACAACTGTGCCATATGGGTGTCAAACACCATAATGATTACCCATCATGGGCGGTGTTTGGTGGAGCTCCCAGATTGATTCTGGTTTGGAATCAGGAGTGGCATCCACTTCCTAAACCACACGCCTCTGGAAACTCTATGAACTTGGAGAAATGGCAATAGTTATAGAAAGGCTTCAAGCCTTTTTGTTCATATTTATGAAGGACCCTTATATTTAAAATTCAGTTGGGTCTGAGGTTCTAGTGGTATTTTATTTTATTTTTGAGGAATACGCTTAATCCACAATATGAACAGTCTTTCAAGCATCACATAGGTTGTTGATGAATCTTCCTCCAATCTGTCCAGCATACAAATTGAATAGATATAAACTATCCAACCCTGATGCACATCTTTCCTGCTTTTTTAACCAAGCTGTGTTCCCCTTTTCTGTTGGGACAACTGCTTCTTGGTCTGTATAGGTTTCACATGAGCCCAGTTCTGAATTTACACACTCTTCTTATTGTTAGCCATAATTTGTTATGATCCACACACATAGTCAAATGCACTTGGATAGTTGATAAAACACAAGTAATCTCTCTGGCATTCTCTGCTTTCAGTGAAGATTTATGTGGTATCAACCATGGCCTCTTCATTAGAGCAGTTTATTAGATCCTCATAGAAAAGCCTTGACTGATAATTGTGATCTGTTTTAATATTTTGTGCTGTCATGAAATCATAGAAGAAAATACTACAGATCGAGAAGCAACAGATTATCTGGGAGGTTGGGCTTAATGAAGAGAAATGTGACATAAGAACTGGAGGAAGACTCACCAATAATCTGCCTTATGCAAATGACACAACCTTGCTTGCTGAAACTGAGGAGGACCATAAACACTTGCTGCAGAAGGTCAAGGACTTCAGCCTTCATATGGATTGAAGTTCAACATCAAGAAAACAAAGATTCTTACCACTGGGCCAGTTGGCAGTACCATGATAGAGACTGTAAAGAGACTGAGATTGCTAATAGCTTCAGTTTACTTGGCTCCACAATCAACACTCTCAATACCAGCATCTAGGAAATTAAGAGACAGATTGCATTGAGAAAGTCTGCTGTCAGAGACATTGCCAAAATATTGAAGAGCAACAGTGTCAATCTGGAGACTAAGGTGCACCTGATTTAGGCCATGCTCTTTGCAATTACTTGCTGTATGTCAGAAAGCTGAACAATGACTAGGGATGATAGAAGGAGACATGATGCCTTTGAGCTGTGGTGCTGTAGAAGAGTATTGAATATACCATGGTCTGTGAGGAGAACAAATAGGTTCGTCCTAGTGAGGGTGAAACCAAGCTGATCCTTGAAGGCAAGGATTCTGAAGCTTCATCTGACATACTTTGGGCATGCTGCAAGGAGGGACCAGTCCTTGTAGAAGGACATCATGCTTGGGAGGGTGGAGGGACAGCACAAGAGAGGAAGACCCTTGATGAGATGGATTGAGTTAGTGACTGGGGTAATGGGAATAAGTGTGTCTGAAACAATAAGGTTGGCTCAGGATAGAGCAGGGTTCAGAGCTGTTGTGCATAGGATCATTGAGTCACAAACGTCTCGATTGCACATAACAACAATAGCAACATGAGATAGTTAGAGATAGAACTCAAAGCCGTGTTGTGGTGTTGATGTAAATCCTGTGAGGAGATAGAACCCTACCCATCCTGTCCCCAGAGCAGTTTGGAGTCCTCCTACTGAGTGGTCAGTGATGGCTATGTGGATGGAAGTGATGCGCTGCTATATGCACCAGGGAGTAATGAAGCAGAGGCTTCCATCCCTTCCTGCCAGAGTGGGT